AACAACCCATTGTTGGGTTGCTGCCACCGAATTGGTAGTTTTAACAAAATTTTGCAGTTTTTTGTTATTATTTTGAATATTATTATAGATATATATATAAACTGTAAGCAGCAATAATGTTCAGCAAAGTAAGATCCACAAAAAAAGTTGATATGACCATAATAGTCAATTGACCCCTAAAGGAGTTATTGCCCTTTAAAGACAATTTTACACAATTTGTTCATCAAGTTTGCTAAAATTAAAAAATCTTCTCCTCTGAAACTATTGGGCCAATTACCTTCAAACTTTAACTAAATGTTCCTTAGGGTATCTCGTTTATCAATTGTATCCGAAGTTTGTATTCATCGACAAACATGGCCGCCATGGCTAAAACTAGAACATAAGGGTCAAATGCAGTTTTTGGCTTATATCTCAAAAACTAAATCTTTGAGAGCAAATGTGACGGAGTAAAATTGTTTAGTTGGTCAAGATCTATCTGCCCTGAAATTTTCAGACGAATCGAACAACCCATTGTTGGGTTGCTGCCACCGAATTGGTAGTTTTAACAAAACATAATTTTGTTATTATTTTGAATATTAATATAGATATATATAAACTGTAAGCAGCAATAATGTTCAGCAAAGTAAGATCTACAAATAAGTTAATATGACCATAAATGTCAATTGACCCCTTAAGGAGTTATTGCCCTTTAAAGACAATTTCACACAATTTGTTCATCAAGTTTGCTAACATTTACAAAATCTTCTATGAAATACATGTGAGCGATTCAGGCTCTTAAGAGTCTCTTGTTTCAATAACAAGTAATTGAAAGTAATGAATTACAAAGCCAAAATTGTCTGTAATTGACAATTACATTTCAATTACAACTCAATTACATTTGAAATTTGGGATCAGAAAGATTGAATCTTGTGTTTTCTCAAAAAATTATGAAAAGCCATGACCTTAGCAAATGTAGTTATCTGACAAATCAAAGCCTACACAGTATACCCTCTGTAATTACACAACCATGGAAGATTCTTTATTTTGTAATGAATGAACAAAAAAATAAAAAGAAAAAAAAATATTGTAGAAACATGCCATAATTTGTGTTTAAAAGAAACCATTAGTAAGTCACTGTCTTATACCTTAATTAGCTTGTTACCTACATGTATATTCAGATGGATATTGTTAGACATTGATTTAACATAATCAATTTGAATGGTGGTAAGTCAATCAAAAAATATAACCTCTGGCTATTTGTTTTATCATAAACTATATAATGACTGTCTTTACAACAGTTATGTTTGCATGTTAAACAGGTGTTAAGCCAATTAGAGAGAGATAAATATACCCCTTGGTACATGATTCTTTCTTAAATTAATTAATTGTGATTAAAACTACATTATATTTTTAAAAAAGTCAGACTTTCTAAATCATTTCTTTAGGAAAAAATTATTTTAATAAGTTGTGATCAAAACAAAAAAAAAAAAATCTTATCTATAGGGCTTTCTTCTTGTATCATTTTCAATGAAATACATTAAAACATAAAATTTCAATAGGTAATTAAACAAAATTTAATATTTTCCAAATATTGAATGAGGCTTTTTATCATTTTGCGCATTAAATTAAACCAGACATAGTACATCTAGTCCTAACGATTCCTGATAGACAAAGTAATATGTGCACTTCAGATTTATGTTTGCTTTTTCTTTATTCCCGTAACACACTAGATATTTAACTTTTACTCTTCTTTGATACTGGCTGAATTTGAAAATAGTCACTGTAGATTTCATTTGTTATTACTATAAAGCAATGTATGTTAATTATGTACATATGATAGAATAAATGCATGTTCTAAATTTTCCTTTCAAAAGTAATTGAAGTAATTAATTACATTTGCCGAGTAATTGGAAAGTAATTAATTACATTGTCAAAAAAGTCAAATGAAATGTGTAATTTAATTGAAGATTTTGTAATTGTAATTGAATGTAATTAATTACTTTCAAAAGTAATTGACCCCATGTCTGATGAACATGTATTTATTTTTAAAATGTCGATTGCCATGCACGGATATGGCAAATTATCGTCTTTAAAAAAATAAAAAAAATTCACTAAACGCATCTCTGGTTCAGCTACATGCCCAGACAGCACCGTGTCTAAACCAACCCGGCAAAAAAATGTCTGTACTCGATAGTATCTTATATTCAGTATGATGACGGACAACTTTCGACAGCTAAAAGGTAGGGCTTGTTATTGAATATAAATCACATATTACTATTTTCGATTGCGAAATGTTATATTTTCTACAACCGTTCTAGATTTAGTAAAAATGCATTGCAAACTGACAAAAAGAGTGACCATTGCTTCGATTTCGTTTATCGCCTTCAATGATCAAACTTAAATACAACTTTGCTTTTGAAAGTTTTGCAACAAAAACTGCACAAGTCAGCAACTTCGTCTTGATTGCTTGATTCATTAGTGTAAAGTTTGATGTATTTATTGAAATTTCCTTCATCGCACATGGAATGATCGCTATTTTATTGCTTTTAATGCTTTCCTGTACTAGAGCAATTTCATTCTTCAAAATGCATTTAAAGGTCAATAGCTACTAGAAGTCAACTGATGGTTTCATTCATGAATATTTTGTACACATTGTCTAACTGATAATTCTGTTGTTCAAGATTTTGTCTATAATTATAGTTTAAAGATAAAAGACAGAAACTTTTAAGTCGATACAAAAAATAAATCGCCATTTAAGGGCAATACATGTAACTCTTATAAGAAATCAATTGATCAGTTCGGAAAAGAAGGGATGCTGTTCGTTTATGACGAAAAATTGCATATGGGCAGAAATTTTGACTAGCATTATATCACCTACGGACCCCTCAGTGAGTTGTTGCATGGTTATTTAATGTGCACGCGGCAATGGATTTAATATCTCCCTTCCGATCAGACGGTGCTTTGTAATTATTTATCTCCCATAGCCAAACAGCCGGCCAAATTTAATTAAAATTTAAATTGGCTTATGTGATAAGACCAGGGATGACCATATTTCTTTACCCAGTGAACCCTTGGGGTCAGAGAGGATCAAGATGTTTATTTAATCCGAAAATTGAGTTACTTTTAAAATTTTATTTGAACATTTGTTGATTGTTTATCTCACAACTAGATTGACAGTCGCATTCCAATTATTGTTGACATATTAAATATAAGAAGACAATTCAGGAAAGTGCATCATGATTCTAAAGGACAGAAAGAGATATAGGTTGATGTGTACCAGACAATCATTCCATGGACTTAAATAACTTAAAGCACTCATGCAGTTGAGTTTAAATGATTCTTGTCCTGAAACTTCAAGATGCCCATTATTTATATCGTTAATTTGTTGAAAATAGTCACTGTATATCTCATTTGTTACTACTATAAAGCAATGTATGATAATAATGTACATATGATAGAACAAATGCATGTTCTAAATTTTCCTTTCAAAAGTAATTGAAGTAATTAATTACATTTGCCAAGTCAAATGTAATGTGTAATTTAATTGAAGATTTTGCAATTGTAATTGAATGTAATTAATTACTTTCAAAAGTAATTTACCCCATATATTATAGCAGAATTAAATACGTTAATTCATAAAAGGCGTGCTATATATATAACAAATACAGCGGTGGGCTGTATGCAGCTGCCAACAGTTTCCGCGCATAACCATTATGAGTTTTTCAACCAATGCTTTTCATATTTTAAATATATTTTACAGATGTTACCTCATGTTGTTTCTGTGCATATGTTGTTACTGATGACTAATTGGAGGTCAAGTTTGATATTGGCTATTTCACTTCTAAATTTAAGTTCATGACATGTGATCCTTTTAGGTTCGAAAATATGAACAGAATGTTGCCTGTCAAACAAGCCTGAAGTGCCATACTTTGAAAAACATCATTTCATTGGTACTAGCTACCCTCTTAATACCAACAATGGCTACCTTCATAATACAAAAAATGTGACCTTGACCAAACTGGAATTCATGTTTTCTTGCACTTTTTTTTAAAGTAAAGTGGATAGCAACCATATATTTACAAAATCAAAGTAAAAGGCTTTTTATGACACCCAAAGTGTCCTCTGTAAACAGAACGAGGCAGATTATCTCCGTTATTTTACAGAAAAGTCTCTACAAACCATACATTTTTGGAATCAGGATTAAATTAAATTTCAAACGAGACTGGAAGTGACCTTTTCAAACCAGAGGTAGCCAATTTTCTCCATTTTTTTAAGGAAAATACATAGAAACCATATATTTTCAGTATCAGGGTGAAATAAACTGTTTTCTGACACCTTCATTGTCTATGTTTTTATGTGTTTTTTTTCAGGAAACCCAAATTTAGAGTGGAAAAATCTTATTTTGTTCTCTGAATAATTGGTTATGATTGTTATTTTATTCAAATGTTTACTTTTTCAGATTTAAATGATGCAATAGATGTTTGTCCAATTTTAGAAAAGATCAGTTAAACTACTGGAGAAGGTGAAAGGATTGGTGAAAATACTGAAAATGGTAAATATTCTGAATTTTTACGACATCAAATCAGCTTAAAGACTGTATGGGTGACCGTGGCTTTTTTACAAATTTTCGAGATGGCCACCACACACTGAAAAATTGAAGATACAATAAGGCTGAAGTTTTTATCAAAATGTTAAGATCTCTTAGTTTTTAATACAGCAGGGCCCTTAGAGATAGTTTCCATCTCATTGATATCTAGTTTACCAGAGTGCAGATGTTTTTTGAATATGACAGTTAAATTTTTCCTTTATGCAACAATCTTTTTTCTGGTGCTTTGCTGTTATTTCGATAATTATTTTTGAAATGATTAATTACTGATCAAACAGACTTAAGGTGTGTGAAAAAAAGTTTCAGCTTCATAATGCAAAGTTAAAATAAGTTTAATTATAACAAGTATTTGTTCACAGTGGATTAAGATGTATTAAAGCTAATTTAAACAAGATTCATATTATTTTCATTTCAGATACAACTACAGGAATTGATAATGATTCATCAACAAAAGATAAAAATTCAGAAACAGGTAAATAATCTTTAAGTAAATTTAAGAAATCAATGAACCGGTTTATTCAATTTCAATTAAGCACAACAAATCTTATATTCACTATTTGGACACCTTAGGGCCAATGTTGGTTCGTGTTGACACTTAAAATCCCTAGAAAGTATAGGAGGTAAATGATTATCATATTTAATGCCCTTGATGCTTCCAATATTAAAATGAAAATTCCACTTAATAAAATCGCTTTAGGAAGTATGGTCTAGCTTATGAGTTTTTTTCTCACCTGGCCCAAAGGGCTATATGAGCTTATGCCAATACTTGGCCTCCGCCGATGTCCATCGTCTGTCGTCGTCGTCATAAACTATTTCAAGAATCTTCTCCTCTTAAACTACTGTGCCAAATACCTTCAAACTTTAACTGAATGTTTCTTAGGGTATCTAGTTTGTAAATTTTATCTGAAGTTTTGATCCATCAACAAACATGGCCGCCATGACTAAAAATAGAACATAAGGGGCAAATGCAGTTTTTGGCTTATATCTCAAAAACTAAAGCATTTAGAGCAAATCTGAATGGGTAAAAATGTACAATTGGTCAAGATCTATCAGCCCTGAAATTTTCAGACAAACCAAACAACTTATTGTTGGGTTGCTGCCACTAAATTGGTAATTTTATGGAAATGTTACAGTTTTTGGCTATTATCTTGAATATTATTGAAAATAAAAATAAGCTGTAAATAGCAAAAATGTTCAACAAAGTAAGATCTACAAAAAAGTTAATAAGACAAAAATTGTCAAATGACCCCTTAAGGAGTTATTGCCCTTTAAAGACAATTTTACACAATTTGTTCATCATGTTTGTTAACATTTAAAAATCTTCTCCTCTGAAACTACTAGGCCTAATACTTCTAAACTTTGACTGAATGTTACTTAGGGTAACTGGTTTATAAATTGTATCCGAAGTTTCGATCCATTAACAAACATGGCCGCCATGGCTAAAATAAGAACATAGGGATCAAATGCAGTTTTTGGCTTTTATTTCAAAAAGTATAGCAGTTAGAGCAAAAGTGACAGGGAGTTAAAGTGATGAATAAGTCAAGATATATCTGCTACGAAATTTTCTGACCAATTGAATCACCAATAGTAAGTTTACTGTTGGAAATAGTTTATTCATATGAAATTTTACTGTTTTTGGTTTAAATCTTTAATATTATAATAGAAAGAGAGAAAGTATTAATGGCAAAAATGTTCAGCTAAGTAGGATCTACAAATAAGGTAATTGATCAACAAAAAAAAAAAGAGTAAAATCACAAAAATACTGAACTCCGAGGAAAATGCAAAACGGAAAGTCCCTAATCAAATGGCAAAATCAAATGATAAAACTCATCAAACGAATGGACAACAACTGTCATATCCTGACTAGGTACAGGCAATTTCAAATGTAGAAAATGATGGATATAACCTGGTTTTATAGCGCTTAACCTCTCACTTGTATGACAGTCGCATCAAATTCCATTATATTTACAACGATGCGTACACAAAACAGACATAATAGGTAACATTGTCAAAATATGAGTACAGCAGTCATCACTGTGTTACAATCTCAAAACAAACAAAACATTTAACAAAGAAGCACAAAAAACATCTATCAAATTTAACAACCACATTCATTGCTTACTTATATATGTATTATTAATCAACCCATAAAGGATTGAAATATTTAAAGTCCTGTGACTGCATTCACATCTACTTTTAGTGTAGATTCGCGTGTTTGACGCCAGAAAATGTAAACGTCACACAGGAACAAATATATAAAATAATTTTGTCATTCAAAGTATTTTCAAAAATTGTAATTTCACATGAGATGGTGGTATACAGGGTTGAAAAATCAAAAGTTTTAGTTCGAACTAATTTCAGAAAAAGACGGAGATCTAAAATTATCCAGAAGTTCTTTAGAATTTTTAAGAATCCACATATGGTTAATACCACAACGCGAGTAAAATAATTTTGTCGTTCAAAGTATTTTCAAAATTATAATAGAACAATAACAAAATGGTGGGATCTTTAAAAGTACAGAGCCACATCATATGACCAAAGAAACACATAAAGACACACGTACATAACACACCAACAAAAATGAAAGATAATACAAACACATTGACAGGATGTATAAGTACCAAGCTATGTCAAATGGATATCACAAAAAACAGACCAAACAGTAAAAGTAATATTAATAGTAGAACAAAGACAAAAAAAGAACAATATAACACGATATTAAGATGATAAGCAATGTCAGTCAAAATAGTCAATTGACTCTTTAAGGAGTTATTACTTTTGAAAAGTTTATTTTTTACATTTTTTCGTGCAAGTCTATTACTTTTTCATAAATCTTCTTCTCTAACACTACTGGGCCAAATACTTCCAAACTTTTAACTGAATGTTCCTGAGGGCATCTAGTTTATAAATTGTATCCAAAGTTTTGATCCATTAACTAACATGGCCGCCATGGCTAAAAATAGAACATAGGGGACAAAAGCAGTTTTAGGCTTATATCTCAAAAACTACAGCAGTTAGAGCAAAAATGAAAGGGAGTTAAAGTAATAAATAGGTCATGATCTACCTGTTATGAAATTTTCAGACAAGTTCGACAACTAATTGTTGGGTTACTGTTGGAAATAGTTTATTTTTATTAAATTTTACTGTTTTGGGTTATTTTCTTTAATATTATAATAGATAGAGAGAAAGTATAAATGGCAATAAATGTTCAGCTAACTAAGATCTACAAATAAGTCAGCATGATCAAATTAGTCAATTGACATCTTGAGGAGTTTTTGCCCTTAAAACGGTTTTTTTTTTCATTTTTTGTGAGTCTTATTATTTTTTTCAAAAATCTTCTTCTCTGAAACTACTTGGCCAAATACTTAAAAATTTTAATTGAATGTTCCTTAGGGTATCTAGTTTATAGATTGCATTCAAGGATTCGATCCATTCAAAATCATGGCGTCAGTTTCTAAAAATAGAACATATGGTTCAAATGAAGTTTTTGGCTTTCATCTCAAAATCTAAAGCAGTAAGAGCAAAACTGACAGAGGTGAAAGTGTTAAACAGGTTTAGATCTACCTGTCAACTAATCTTCAGACCAATAGGACAACTTATTGTTGGGTTACTGTCCAGAAGAAGTTAATTTTTAGGAAATTTTACAGTTTTGGGCTATGTATTATCTTTAATATAATTATAGAAAGAGAGAAAGTGTAAATGACAAAATTGTTCAGCAAAGTAAGATCTACAAATAGGTCAAATGCCTGAAACTGAAATTTCAGCAGAGCGATATCAGGCTCTCATGAGCATTTTTTTATTATTGTTTAGTGTACAGAACCTGCATTCTTATTGATACATATATAAGTGTTGAACTTATCCACTGAAATATATTAAGAAGCATATTTTATATTTATTGACTTGGTATGAGTGGAATAGTAAGTTTATTGTCCCCTGAGGTGCAACTATTTTGTGTTTTTGGCATCCTTGTCCTTAATTAATTCTTCCAGATCTCCATCGGAAAGCGATGCAAATCGCCCTGATTGAGCCATGATCCTGTCGTCTGATGTGACTTGATGTGTGTTCGAATGACTTGGGAATCGAGGTTAATAATTGAGATGAATTAAGATAGTCTTGAATGAATTGTTAAAAATCCGTGAGCCAATCATGTAGTTATTTTTAACTATGCTTAAATAATCCAAGTATAAGTTGATGCAAATATAAGATATAGTTCCAAAGTATTGGCAAAGTAAGAAGTATTATCTGTTCATGATATTTCATGTGATTTAAGAAAGTGTTAAACTTTCAAAAGCAATGTATTTGCATTGTAAAAGTTTTTTTAGTCAGTAAAATAAATTTATCTTTTTTAGGAAGAAAAAGATCAAGTTCTGCTTCAGAAAATGAAAAAGTGGATACAACAGAATCCAAGAAGTGTAAGAATACAGTAAGAATGACTGAAATTGGTACTATTAAAAACTTGAAAAGATATGTAGATAAAACAGAGAAAGAAAGAAAAAGAAAAACAGATATGTCTAAAGAACTTATAAAAAATATATGTAATATGTGATTAATTAAATGAGTTCATCTGAAATGAAAACAACAAATTAGGGTTACTTTGTGTCATCTATCACATAAGTTGTATGTATATCTATTTTTATGATTAAACTATGGTAATGCAAACTATTGTAAATATTTTTTTCTAATTTATGAGAATCAAGAATAAGAAAATGAAAAAAGCTTGTAAAGTTAGGATATATATAAATATATTTATATATAACAAAAAACCTTCAAGAAAATCTAGACCTTTTGATCAGTCGTGCAGTTCTATGACAGCAGAACTGTATTTATGATATAGTAGCAACTTTAACATTATTATGACCAATATCAAAGTCAACAATAGAAATCGTGAATGAGAACACATGGCTTTGTATTAATTCTGTGAGGCTTGAATTTACATTATTTATCTAAAGTTTCTCAATACAGTCAAGGTATGGCATGGCTACAAAGTTTCTCAAGTCAACTATTTTTTAATATTAAAAGTTTTTTCCATCAAGTAAATGAGTCTGTATTACAAACAAACCAGTATATTGCACATTTCTTTCCATAAAGTTCATATATTTTCAGTTATGCACATAAAAATCATAACTTTATGTACTGTTTTTTCATTGTGTATTGTATTCACCCCTTTTTAGTCCAAGAAACATTAGAAAAAAAAATTCCTTGTGTATAACACAGGGACATACTCAGAAAAGTCACAACTTCAAATTCAGTAAAGTTTTCTTGAGCCTGATTTTTCAGCAAGAAATTGATATATATAAAGAAAATTAAAGTCAAACATGAACTTGATTTTTACAATAATATATATAGATATAATCCTTTTACTTAATAATTCTGCTGGGATATCAAGTTGTACGACTTTGCCCTCAGCAGAGCTATAGAAAAACAGTACATTAACGGGTGTTACACAGACACTTTTTAGATACGGACACTTTTTAGTTGTTACACGGACACTTTATATAAATAGCATCACACGTGTATGATCAGTGAGTTTCATGGGCAAGTTAAATTTTAATTAGATTTGAACTTTTTGTTTCACCGACATATTTCCTGTCTTTTTTTTATTAAATATTTACGTTGGCACCAATAACTATATTTTTTTTCAAACAATTCCAGTATTTTACTATTCATATCAGTACACTAAGGGATTGACCATTTAACTCATGGGCACTTTAAATTTTAATTAGATTTGAACTTTTTGTTTCACCGACATATTTCCTGTCTTTTTTTTTATTAAATATTTACGTTGGCACCAATAACTATATTTTTTTCAAACAATTCCAGTATTTTACTATTCATATCAGTACACTAATGGATTGACCATTTAATTTCAAAAAGGGGGTTATGGTTTTTTCCTAAAAAAATATTCTGATCCCAAATTTTATAAGAAAAAATATATTGTCGTCAAGCAGATGACAAATTAAAGTTATGATTCCTGATTTTCCGAATATCGTATATAATAGTGCTAATTTCGAAAAATAAAAATTATTTGGGTGATAGCGTTAAAAAACTAAATACTTTTCTTACTCAGAAAAAAACAAAACATTCCCACCTTTTGAAGCTAAATGATAGGTCCGTAAATGTATTTTTTTTTCAATATATGGACATGACTAGTATTCTGGACAATGCTGAAAGTAAAGAAATGCAGGTACCGACGTTTATATAAAAAAGACAGGAAATATATGTAAAAAATCAAATCTAATCAAAAGATAAAAAAACCCTATCAACTCACCAATGCACGATTGATCCTATAAATAAAAAGTGTCCGTGTAATACATGTTCAAATAGGCAGCAAATCTTGAAGAAAATCATTCAACTTATATCATCAATTGTGGACGTTAAGCTGCGATTGGATCATATTGTGACACATGTTTAATCCTGGTCAACACTATCAGAGACGTATAAAAACCTATAATAAGCATGAACATTTTAAAACAAATCCAAAATATAAGCCTATATATATCTAATAACAAGACAAAATCCATTTTTTCATAACATTTCATTCATATATATTGAATTCATATATTTGAGAGCAAACGTACGATTTTTATTATTTTTCTAAGGGGGAATGGGGGGTGGATGGAATGGCACATCCTGCATTTTTTCATCAACAAAAAAAAAGGATCAAGCCTGTTTATTTTAAATTTATTATACCCGCTCCCCCTTTTCCGTTTTTCCCCAAATAAAAATGAAATGTTAGCTTGCTTACCTCTGAAATCTTTTTCTTATATTACTTACATGCGAAGTTGCATTTTATAAAGTCTCAAATGTGTACAACATTCATCTTTTACTTGAAATATTTCTTTTTTATAAAATTATTAGATTCTTGAATTTCTTGAGAAAGAATTCTCGGCTGAAGGGAAATGAAAAACTATGTTTGTTTAAACTGTAATTCATATTAACTGGTATATGGCCATTTAAGTTTCTAATCTGTTTAGTTTGCTACCTCTTCTAAATGCAAAATGTACTACTTCTTTCTTGAAACGTTATACAAGTCAGATACAAAACAAAGGTAACAAAAAAACAGGCCGGAAACAACCTGCCGTATAGTTTTTCTGCACTTGAAGTCAGGTCAAGGTCCTCGGCAATCGCCTCGGACCTTCACCTGACTACTCGTGCAGAAAAACTATCCGGCAACGGTTATTACCAGCCAGTTTCTTTGTTACCTTTGTATTGTATCTAATACTTGTCTAATTGTTGAATTGAATAAAAGACAAATATTTGTGTGTAATGATCTTTATACTGTTAGTGTTCAGCCATGATGAAGCAATTATACTCCAAATTGTCTATTTATTGGATTGAATAAACATTGAATTTTGAAGTGTCATAGTCATCATACCATTAGCGTAAAGCCGGGATGAAGAATAGACGTTACAATTCTCCATTTTTTAAAGATTGAATGAAATTTGTTTTTACTTCTGAAAACAATGATAGGAAAAAAAAAAGAAGTAAGGATATATATTTGCATATGTACACATATATAGTTAGAGAAATTAAAGTCAAAGATTCACTTGAAAGATTAAACAAATCATAAGATAGGAAAAAACATTATAATAATCAAACCCCTTCCACTTCTCATAAAGATGATCATGGATTGAAAGAATATTGTAGATTCATTAATGATAGAGATGGAATCTTTTAATTATATCTACTTACAGTGGAGGTACCGTAAATGATATAATAAATGCAGTCTTATAACTTTAATATTTAAGATATGTTGTTGTTTAGTTATATATACAATAGATTAAGTTTTTGTCAATAGATATAGTTTCTTTATTTTTTCTTTGTTCTGTTACATTATCAGCTTATTTGTGAACATTCAGAATTTGTGGATTCTGTTTGGCATCATTAATGTCAAAATATTCTCGCATGGTTTTTAGTGTATCTTTTAACTTATTTTTCTTTACATGAACAATGTGTCTACTCTGATTTTTACAATATATATATATAGATATAATCCTTTTACTTAATCATTCTGCTGGGATATCAAAGTTGTCTAATTATTGAATTGAATAAAAGACAAATATTTGTGTGTAATGATCTTCATACTGGTATTCTGAACCTCGTGGAAAATTGATCCTTGGGTTAAAATACCGCTATTGTAAATTGAACCCCAAATGAGAAATTGCCCCCCTCCCCTTTTGAAAATTGAACCCCATGGAAAATTTACCCCCTGTTTTTTTTTTCATTCTATATGTCTATTGGAACATTAAACATTATTAAAAGCTAAAGGGGTGGGGGTCAAATTTCCATGTAGAAGGTCCTGCTTATTATTTAGTGCATATTTTAATAGTTTGCATTTGTTTAAGATGTACTGAATATAGACATAAAAGACTAACCCAGCTTTCAGAATGTACGTATGCAACACCTTACCATGGTCCTATTACAAACAGCCCTTTCCGTAATTTACCTGTACAACAACAACAGTTAACAGGTGGCAGACCTGGATAATATTATTCCATAGTTTATATGTATTGTTATATACTTATTATGCTAATAAATGATGAGTACACAATTGAATACTATTTGTCTTTATTTTAATCATATATAAGTTACTAGTAGTTGTTGATTTGTTAATGGAAGACATATAATGAAAAATAATAAAACAGAAAAACAAAAGAAGATTTGAAAGGACCAGATTTTGAATCAACATCCCAAAATAAAAATTGTATGTAGTATTTTAGGTCATAAGGTCTATTGATTATTTGATATTTCATTGAAATGTGGTTTCCAAAGTTGTTTTTCGGTATTTATATAACAATTTCGCCTTTTCAAATATAGGCAACAGTAGTTTACCAATGTTCAATTGTCATAATTCGATAATGAGAAAACAAATCCAGGCAACTAACAAAAACTAAGGGAAACGCATCAACCACAAAAGGAAAATAAAGGAACGACAGAAATACTGAACTCCAAGACAAATCTATATGAAAAAAATCGTTAAAATAAACCTGGCAAAAACAAAGGCTCGAAAAGTCATAGAAACGGACCATCTGATAAACAACTGCCATATTCTTGACATGGTACAGGCCATTCTTCAAGAAAAATAATGTCATTTTAACCAGGTTGAGGTGTTTATATTGTTTGTTATTGTCTTGATTGGTTATGGTGTTTCATGTAGTTTGTTGAATGTGTTGCTGTGTTGCTTATCGTTTTTGTAACTCATCTGACAAAAGAGTACGTGACCCTTTTCCATTAATGTTATATAGTGGACTGATACTTTCTTTGTAAGTGTATTTAAGTTTCTCAACATAACAGTTTTATTCGATATTTTCCTCCTTTTAAAGCCAATAACTCAGAAATGGAATAACTTTTATAGTAAGTTTTTTGTTTTATGATTGCCAATTGTCTACTATTCAGCAAAAGACACAAGGATATGAATAACTAGAGATTACAGTATAACCTACACCATGAAAAAAACTCATTGATCGTATTCAAAGCTGTAACAGTCATGAATAACATTTAGAGAAACAGTTCAAATGGGAAAAGCAATTAATGAGATCAGGCCAA